CAAGTTATTTGTGTCTGTGTCTATTTTAAATAACTAAATAAAATCCAATCAAAATAAAACATTCTTACCGGTATTTTCGTTGACCTTTGGTTCGATTTCATTGGAAGATTCTACTTTTTTAACTTTGCTTGGGGTCTCAGATTCCAAATTTCTATCACATATGTCAGGTCTTTTCATTGCCATTCTTCTATTGAAAACGTCCTCTTTGTTTTGTTTCTTCTTGAGACCTTCCAAATAGGACAACATGTCGGTATCGCATAAGTCAAATGCAGTTTGTCCCTGAAAAAAGGAAACGAATGAATAAGGAATAAGCAGTTACATATTCTTTTATATTTCCATTTTGAACTCTTCGGTTTTTGTGACTTTGGAGTTCATATATAACAACATATATCATGAAAGGTCTTTAGACAAAAATAGATTCCAATAAGATAGAATAATATTTAATTGTTTCTTCCTGATAAAAATCTGTTCCCATATGCACAACATATCGATACAGTCAAGTGCATTTGATTGTGTTAATACTATGGCTTTACAGGACTCACTTATCAGTTGATAAAATCATACCTATTGAATCGTTGTCAAATAGTGAGAAGTAATGAAATTCAATTACAAAAAAACTGAAATGTAGAGTTCTACAAGGCTTGGTTGTGGATCCAGTTCTTTCCTTAATTCATGTGAATTATCTAACAGACGTTGATACATTAGGTAGTTTTACATTACATGCTGATGACACTTATACTGTTGGAATAGTCCCCAAGATTGAAGACTTAAAAAAGTGTGTTTGAGGAAGATGTGGAAAATGTGAATTTCATTAGTTTGGACTTCCATTGTCTAATATTATATAAAATGATTTTAAATCCCTGAAAAAACCAATACAAATGAAAAATTAAAAAGAGTAGCTAAAACGAAATAATATTACTTGAAAAAAAATGTCATTTCCATACTCGTTAATTTGATAAACGATATTTTCAAAGCGGGATATTTCCTGAGATACTGAAGACTGGAAAAGGAATACCAATATTTAAGGGTGGTGATAACAAAAACTTAGAAATTATAGACCTATAACAATTGTGTGCTCATTCTCTAAAATTATTGAAACTATAATAAAGACAAGAATAATGGACTTTGTTGATCGTTATGTGGGATTTGATGAGTATCAGTATGGTTTTATC